ATTATTATTTTTTAGAAGAGGAAAAGAAGGCGTAAGGCCTTAACATATTTAATTAAATCAGGCAATAAAAAAATTGCATGATATTCGCGTGATGATCTGGAGTTGTTAACAAGAAGCAAAGGTGGTAATGCCTACTGCTCTGATGAAGTATTGTTCTAGCCCTAAACTTAACTATAACACGCTTTTTTCTTGGTTTTCATTTTACGCGTAACTTTTTTACTTAGAAAAAACACGTTTGTTTTGACACCTGATCTTAAATTTTGATTGGTCAAATTACCGAGGATGAAAAATTTTTGTGGGAACCTACCTAAACTGTCAATTAGAGCTCTAGATTACGTCACGGGTCTCTTAGTAAAGAATCACAGGATTTGGAACTAATTCCTATCGTTATGTACTATAGATTTTACAAAAGAAAAAAAAGGAGCTACCGGCGCCCTAAATTAGTCAATAGTAATATTTTTATCTACCTTTATGTATAATTTTAGACAAATCAGTTCGACTTATGGAAATGCCAGTTAACTTTTTCGGGATGCCAAATAAGGGTGATAAAACATACATTGTAATGACAAATATCCAACTATTTTCAAAATTCCGACAAATAAAATTCTGATAAAAACTGATCAGAGCTATTGAAATGTGAACCCAAGCAATGATAAAATTATGAACCTTCATTGTTGAAATCAAACTCGTTTACTATCAAACCATTAATTACCTATGACCGAAGTTTATCATAATCACTTGAAAAATAAATAAGTCATGAGTGTAGAAAAAAAAACAAAATTTATTACCAATCACAGTACTAACTATTATCTGTATACTATTAAAATGATGAACAGCAAGAACACAGACCTCTTGGTATTAAACCCAAAATTGAAAATTTCTTGACCCACTCAAATATGAATAACATGCATTCTGCCGTTTCTTTCTACTCACTTATTTCTATACACAGTTGGTTTGCTTTGGCTGGTGAGAAACCACTTGCTGATCAATCATATAGCACAGTACTTATTACAACTTTTAAGGATACCATTGTCATCCTGGCCAATCTTGGCCAATTACTCCTATTCTATGCTAACTGATATCATTTAAATTCTTTAATAAACTCACCAGCCTAAAATTTTTTGCTAATTATAAATATGTAGTGCGATGTTTTTGCCAATTAAGCCACGCCCCTAAAATTAGATCACATATGTATCCTATTACACATGACTGGAAATTTTCTTGATACAGCATATTTAACGTAGTATTTTGATTATAAGTTTTCACACTATGCGTAGTGGTAGTATTTTCACACGGGCACAGTATGCGTGAACTAATTATGACCTAAATGTAACTGTAAGATCGTGTCAACTTCTACGTACTGTACGTTGTAGCAGTCGAAGTTCCCCTCCACGGTGCGTTACCATCCGACGTTGCGCGGTGTTCGATTTGTTTTATTTTTATTTTTATTATTTTTATTTTCGCAAAAATGGGAGCGATCGTCAAAATCGGTACGAAAGGAATTATCAGGTAAATAGTTGCGAAGAAAATAGAATAGAAAGAAAGATAGTATTAATAAAAAAAAATTAAGTATCGATTTTTAGTCTGCAAAAATAATGTATATAAGTAACGAAAATTACCTTGAATAAAGGATAATTCTTGGAGTTCCAAAAAACCTTCGAAATAATAGTAGGAGTGTTTTGTCTCTAATCCGTTGTACCTAGTGATGTGCCATTTATATGATACCTGAAAAATTTTAACGTACAGTACGTACAGTACGTACTATACATAGTTCTTTTCCGGCATCTGATTGGCTGGCAAAAGTGATTGGAAAAAATTTTACCTTATTCCCCAGTTCTTATTTATACTTCCGTACTATTTTTCATGGTTATTGTCCGGGTTCCAGATTCGGGCTGATCCGGGATTTTATTTTCTTTTTGATTATTTATTTTTTTTTTTACTTTTTTTATTGATATGCCGAATTTTTTAAATTATTGAAATTGCTAACGAAAAGTAAAAGTTGTTTGCCACAGAAAAAAATAAAGTAGAAAAAATAAAAGAAATCTTGTGATTATAGTAAAAACTTTATGAAATATAAAAACCGGGAGAATAAATCAGTTATTATCCATAAAGCGGTCAATAGTCAAAAATTAAATCCGAATCAGATGATCGGATCTAATTCTTGGTTATTGCCCACTTTAACTATAACGTACAGTACGTACAGTACGTATCGTACAGTACGTATAGTACTGTACGCGGCACATCACTAACGAAAACCCAGACCTGTAAAATTAAAATAAAAATCGATTTCACTGGATTTGGTTCAGTGATTATCTAAAAACCATGATCAAAGCCATATTTCTCCATAATTTTTTTTTAGAACTTTAAATGAAGCTTTCTTGATAACTACTAGGTCAAACTCATTAAACCGTTTTTATTTCAATTTTACAAGCTAGTAGAATTAAAATTTTTATTAATTAAATCGTCGTTGAAAAGCCTTTGCTAAAAGACAAAAAAAAAAAAAATCAAATCAAATTTTAAAAGGATCGTCACATGTTTACATAGCACAGCCAATCAAAAAGTTGGGTGAAAATTAGTAAACATCAAATGCGTCAACGAATTTTAATTGGACAAATTGGTAACACAAAAGATGATTTTAAGGGGTAGTAAATAAAAATTTTATGTGTATCCCTATATGGATTAACGGTTAAGGCACAGGTTTTACTATTGGTAGTCCTGAGTACGAGACCGGCCGGTACCGCGCATTCCTAAATCAGGATTCCTGGGGTTGAAATATGGGAATACATATTAAAAATACGCATTAAAAACATTAAATTTATTAAATTTTTTTTAAATAAATTAATTAAGCCGTTAACAAGATGCTATATTTTATTTTAGATGGATAGGATAAAAAAAAATTTAAGATCATGTGATTTACATATTCAAAAAATTATACTTCCGCTTTTACAATTTTTATGAAAATTTTATTAAGCATCGTATAATAATTGATTTCATAATTTTTTGGATGGCAGTGCATACTGTAATAAATTAAAATTTTAGTTTCTTTCTTTTTGTTCTAAACTCATATTTTAGTCGTTAACTTTGCCGCCTGTACATAGTTTATTCGCCGACAATCACTTCACCGACAGCCCATTCCACCGGCAGTCAATTCACCAAGTTTATTCCACCGACAGTTATTTCACCAACAATCATTTCACCGACAATGTAATTCTGGTCATTTTCGTTAGGGTCATATTAGAATTATAGTTAAGGTTGGTGCAATTTTTTAAAAACACTTGTCGGTAAAATGGCTGTCGTTGAAATAAATAAACTTATCGGTGAAATGACACGGATCCGTAATGCAGTATGAGCGATGCCCAGAGAAAACTAGACTTTGGCTTTTAAATCTAAAACCCTAAAAAATCTGAATAATTTACTTCGGCATATTATAAATTTAAGAGTCCAGAGTTTGTTTTTCTTAGCATCACTTAAATAAATCATCTATTTAGTTCAACGAAAACCTTTTATTTTGACCTTACTCATCTCCAATTCAAATTTCAATCTGATGCAACTCAGTTTTAAATCCACCCCATTCTAATTTCACGCACAACATATATATTAAAATATTATAAAAAAACAAATTGATAAAATTAAGGCAAAATCTGAATTGATAAAATTTTAATAATTATAATTAGCAAAAAATTATATTCTCGGTGATGATTTTTTTATTATTCGTGAGAAATTAAAAATTCTACCCATCCCACGGGATCACGCGCGTGATCCCGCGCGGGATTCTTAAAAATCGATCACTACATGTGATATTTATCGTAAACGTTACCTGCGTTAAATTAGGTGCTACATCAAATACAGTGAGCGATGTCTTGTGATCTAGTAATTAAAATCGGATTGTTTTGGTATCATTCGATTCGTCTCGATGAAACGAATCGAATGGTACTGAATCATTCATGTTGTTACCGAATAAATCGATCCCATGACAAAAAATAATTTATTTAATTTTATATAACGATAAATAAATCACATGGTTTACTTTCGCTTCAGATCTTACCCAGGTGCGCCAACAAAATTTCACTGTCACGTGATCCCCGGAAAAATCTTTTATGTTAGGGTTAGCGTTTAAATTAATGTTAGTAAGTGATGGGGTTATAGTAAAATTGCTCGAGGAATTTTTTTTGTTAGTGCACAAAAGGCAGTTTCTTATGTAAATTTTTGAGAAATAAGCGATTTTTGACAAAACTGAC